TCATGAGTTGTGTCTGAGTGTATGATTAATTGCTTTCATGGCAAAATAATTGGATGATATGAAGGACTAGTGATATTTGTCATAGTTTCGACCTCCTTTTTGGGATCTGCTGCAGTTTCTCTGAGATACTTTCTGAGCATATGGGAGCTACATATGCGAGCATCTGTAACTCTCAGTTATAAACCTGTGAAACTGAAGGGCCTTGAGACTTTCTAAGGTTGGGCTCATGTTTAGAGGAGGCTCCCATGTTTGATTCATAACATAAACTCCCTCTCCATCCCTGTTTTTAAGGGATTCTGAGGACAAAACCAAGTTCCTATTGAACTCTGCTCGAGACGGTTCCCAACCTTTTATAGGCCTTGCTTTTAAACTGGAGGTAAGCTGTTAATGTTTTCCTTTCTAATGCAGCAAAAGCAGTAGGGAAGCAGGGCATTTCCTGCAAGAGCTGTTGGTGTACGCCAAGTCCTACTTGCACTGAGCTATTGGTAGCTTGTCATTGACGCCTGGGAAATGCCTTTCGTTTTCAGGGAAAGGCACATATTTAAAGCTTTGTATTTTCAGTGTATCTATTTGTGCATTTTTATTTGGTCACTGTGTATACGGTAAAGCTAAACTGAAAGTTTCTGGAGAACGGGTGCCCAGAACATTACCTAGCTGACTTTATTCAATTGCTTGCAAGTTTCCCATGCTGCCAGTATCTGACCTCTGCAGAGGGACTTCAAAAGTACTCATGTTGTGTTAACCCCAAAGGAGGAAAGAGGATATCCAGATTCATTATTTGTGATTTGAGTAGAAACCAGAGGGAGTCCAAACAGATTGTACTACCAAAACTTATGTGGAACAAATTTTAAAATCAGTTTGTTTAAATTGAACTTCTTTTAAAAAAACTGGTTTCAATCATAAAATCCACAAATGTATCAAACATTGCCAAATTTGGAAGTTTTAAAATGGGTTATGTGCCTCAAATTCTTCATGATTTTCTTAGTTAAAACCTGGGGGGTTTATTTGCGTATATTAAATACTTTCAGAGAAAAATCCTGGTTTTGTTTAAAGTTGAAAACAATGGAACATAAGAGAGTTGGAGAGGAAAAAGTACACAGTTTTAACCAAACAAGTTGTTTGCTACCTAGAGAGTAGCAATTCAGATTTTCATATGCAAAGTGGCTGGTCAAATTGCTAGTTAATGTATGCCTCTGTTGGGAAGGTTTAGAACTGGTAAAATTGGAGAAGTAAAGAAAATTGCCAGGAGATGCCAAGTTCCATTCCAGAGCCACGTGAAAGCTGAGACTGCGTTAAAAAAAGCTTCATTTACACATCTAATGCATAAATTCAAAACAGAAACATTTGGTCAGTCAGTGCAGATCATGCTTTGAAGTAGTAGTGTTCTTGACTCCCAGAATGATTATATCTGATTTTTAATGAAATTTGATTCCAGGCTGGCCGTTTTGGGCAGTTAACTTATATTCGAGTTTACCAGGGGATGCTGAAGAAATCTGATTATATCTATAATACCAGGACTGGGAAGAGAGTGCGTGTACAAAGACTTGTCCGTATGCATTCAGACAACATGGAGGTGAGTGTGAGAGGTACAGTCCACACGGATTGCCTTTTAAACCACTCTTACTAAACAAGCTTCTCGCTCTTCAACTATTTCTGAACAATGCGTCAAATTTCTGCTTTTATTGTTAATTCATACTTGCCTGTAGCACTTAATAGAGCTCTGCAAGAAACTGGAATGATCTCTAGTGTGTTATTTCCACTGAAGTGGAAGAATCTTTGCCCAAGAAGCATTATAAAGTGGCTTTGAGGTGATAGCTATAGAAAGCCAGATGTGGTATTATCTCCCTACTTCTGGGAGAGGGGAAATGGGATTCGCAAAATATACAAAAAAGTTTTCTTCCATGTGATTACTGAATACAATTCTTAAACTAAAAATTGATTCTCAAAGTGCTGCAAATCCTACCCTTTCCTGTTTAAGATTCCTGAACTCTATAGCTGGGTGAGGACTGCCTGAAATATAGTATGTTGCTTGCTTCACATCCTTAAACTAGAGTAAGTTAGCATCCAGGCTGAGGTCTCCTTTTTGTGCTTTGAATAAAGAGATAGAAGATTTACAGAGCATTTTGTGAAAGCTGGAATTTTCAAAGGAGCTTAACTTCGAGCTTTTAAATACAGTATTTATATGTCTTCTTAAAACCAGATGTAGTTTATAATATATCTTTCAGTGTTATCTAAATAGTAACCTTTTCTTTCTTAAGGATGTAAATGAAGTTTATGCAGGAGACATATGTGCATTGTTTGGAATTGATTGTGCTAGTGGGGATACGTTTACTGATAAAACCAGTACTGACATTTCCATGGTGAGTACACTTTTTCATTTGTATGCCTCATGCATTGGAATTTACCAGGATTTTGTTGTAAAAGTTTGTAAACATTTGCTCAGTTTAAATACATTTTGATGTATATGCAACTGCAAATATTTTTTGTGATTATTTGTTATACCTCAAGGAGCCTGAATATATAGAAGTATGGTATGTGCAAGAGAGAGACGTGCATGTTCGCTACGCTTGACATCAAATATATTACTTCAGTGTTAGCAAACTGTTCTGGGCTGTTAGAATTGGATGCTGTTACCCAAAAATATTAAGCTATGTATTTATATATGTATTTAAACACATTAGTTTTATTTTTGTATACATTTACAAAATCTGATAGGAAGCAGAGTCTTCTAACGTGTGAAATCCAGAGATCAACTTGCATCTAGGAAACAGTATTGGAAATACTGTGGTTGGCAGTACGGCATCGTATAGCCTTGTAGTAATCCTCAGGAGAGTTACATAATTTTGTTATGCTGTGGTATTAGATACAAGCTAGATAAGTAAAACAGTCATCCCTGTTTGTAACCCTGAGTTCTTGTGACCCAACTGTTCTGGAGAAATTACATCACCAGGTGTAGTGGAACTCAATCGTATAACCTCGTTATGCCCATTGCAGGAATCAATTCACATCCCTGATCCTGTCATTTCAGTGGCTATGAAGCCTTCCAACAAGGTAGGAGCCTATGAATCAACCTTTGTTTGACTGAGTTACTTTTCCTTTGCTGCTTTTATAATTTTATGCAGGTTAGTGGTTAAATATGGAACCACAGACTAAAATGCGCAGTGTTTTAAAATGTTCTATCCGAAGTACTTAAGAGTATATCATTCAGATAACTCGGCATGTGACTGCTGAGTAAATATGGAACCACAGACTAAAATGTGCAGTGTTTTAAAATGTTCTATCCGAAGTACTTAAGAATATATCATTCAGATAACTCAGCATGTGACTGCGTTAGATGGTATCACTTAGCCATAAAGAAGATGAATGTCTTTGGCCTGGGTAAACGTGGACTTGAAGTAACTGGAGGGATAAATACAGTTAAAATGTATAGCTGTGTTTCAGAAAGTAACCTCATGAGAGTAGAAGTGCTGAGCAGTTGATAGGAAAATTTGAGGCCTTTTTGTTGTGTGACTTCCGGATGTTGAGTTAATGTTTTCTTGTGTGTGTAATTGTTTTTCA